TTGATTTGAATACATCGATAGTTGGCAACTTCGGCGTTTGTCGTTGTATTGGTTTGTGACGTGTATGTTTTTCATCATCCGTCACTTCACTCTTTTTCATACCGGACGTACGGGACCCCCCTGACTGTCCGCCCAGGACGTCCTGCCATTGGACAACTGGTAATATAGATTTTTTGGCCATAAAGTACAGTCCATTGTTGAACCATGCGATTTCAGAGTCTTGTTGAGAGCGGTGGTCGTTCTTGAAGTCCCAAACATGTTGAAGGTATTTCTGGAAGGACTTGAACCGAAGTAGGGAGATATTGAGTTTATAGTAGCTTGCCCCCTGGTCTAGTTGTTTGCGAAATGTCCAAACTGCCACACACATCCTGTGGTTCAAACGTGGGTATGGGCTGGTCGGCAATGGTGCTGCCACAGTGAGCACCCCTCCCCAAATCCTCTGACGCCAAGATTAAATCGATCCGGGATTTAGACAGTCTGACGGGGTCATTGTTTTGAAAACAGGTAAAGGTCTTTTTCAGTCGGGGAGCTGCATCTGAAGGTGTCGAATAGCAAGAGGGAAGCTCACAAATCCCTCAGCATCCGCTCATCCTCCTCTGTGTTGTGTGCGGTAGTGGGGTCAGCGTGGACTTTCCATTGGTCCAGCCATCTGTCCAGTACGACATTGAAATCTCCTGCTAGGATTATCAGAATATCTGAGCTGGGGACCGTTTCAATTTTTTTGAAAATGGGCCTTCTCTCACATGATGTGTTAGGGGCATATAAGGATATAATGCACACCACTTTTAGTTTCAGCATACCCAGCACCTTAACCCATCGTCCATTCTCCTTATCCTTGTCCCAGCTAAATACTTCTAAGTGCGATTCGGGTGGGATCCATATTGCCACCCCGACGCTCCCCGGGCTGAGGACGAAGGCTTGGTAGCCTTGAAAAGGTCAAACTTGCTCGTGAGCCCTGTGGTGCTCTGGTGTATCCATTAGGTGGGTTTCCTGAACGCAAACTACCTCCGACCATATTCTTCCCCTGACCCCCCGCATTAAGTCCCACAACGCATTGTTTTTTTCGGGTTGCGAGATGTTAGACCATTTACATTAATCAATCTAATATCTAGATCCGACTGTTGGAGGGTGTGTTTCCATTTTTTGTTGTTACCATACACCACTTCTACCCAGTCCATCATCGTTCGTGCGTCCCTTTGCCCCCTTCCATTATCTGTTCTGTAACGGTGACCACTCTTGTATCTCCCAGTCCACCCTCTTATTAAGGATATTTTTCCACAGTATCGTGCATATGCATGTGAGTAGATTATCCGTCGACCAGATGTTACGAGGTTTTATTTTAAGTTGTTGGTTGTCTAGAAGCGTGTTATGTGTGTGCCATTGTAGCCTTGCTTCCTTGTTGTCTTCGAATCTCGCATAGAGATCCTTATAGACCATCTTCAGGTTCTCTGATGACACGCTGATGGTGGCCATTGCCCCCGGTTCGCAATGGTTTGTAATAAAATCCGTGACCTTGGGGACCCGTAATTCCCCTTACCTCTGCATGTATCAACCATGCAGTGTCATTCCTCCATAGGCTGGGGGCATATGGGTCCTCTGAGTCAGCAGGTGACAGACCTAGTTCCCAATTTCCTATCTTCCTCCTGACCGGAAGCACCAACACTTCCGAGTCGTCCCCCTGCGACAAACTTTTGTGGTACAGCCCCTTCTCGATGAGGTGACGCATTTTTGACCGCTTTGGAAGTCCTGTTTCCTCTGCTGCTTTTGTAGCCTCGTCCTCTCCCTGGTCGGTTTGTTCAGTGTGCATGGTCGGTTGTGTATGATCAGGGGGGTGGGGAGGGGGGTTGCCTACGCGGCCTAAATTTACTGTCCTTTCGGACAGGTCTGGCGTCCTTGTCGTTGCGAGGGCCTGAAATTTTTGGTGCACGATGTTCCAGACTCTGTACAACACCTGTTGCCAATCCGTGTTCGGGGATAGGCCTTGCCCTAAAGCATGTTTCAGGTTGGGGCTCTCATCCAATAGGGGAAACAGTTGTACGTAAGCCTCATCCCAGTATGACTCTATTTGGCCTGTATATAATGTGTGAAGTTGGCCAATTAACCATTCCGCCAGTCCCCTTAGCTTCGCCTCGACATCCTGTTCCCCTTGTGACCCCTAAGCCTCGGGTGTGCTATCCATCATCTCCTCATCTGGGGGGCCCGCCAGTGGTTCCCAATCCATGGGTTGGGGTTCAAAAGCCTGGAAAAATGGGTCCGTATTGGGGGGGGTCTCTCCCGTGGCCAGAGACCGTCCAGAAGGGTTCATTTTGGGGGATGATTATCGCGGGGCCTGAGACCCTTGAAAAGGTTCCAATGCTGCTACCTCCCCTGATAAGTGTTGCGTGGTTTCCTGATATGTGCTTAGGTTCACAGCCCCTTTCCCCTGGTCCAGATGATTCTCTCCTCCGCGTATCATTACTCCCCTTCCCTTTCCCCCTCTCCCTTCCCCTCCTCCTCCCCCTCCCTCTCCCCCTTTGTCCGTCTGTTCACAATTGCCCCCAACGAAGATCTTCGATCTCTCTTGTGTTTTGCCTTTCCTTTCCCCTCCTGTTTGCTCGTTCTGCCCCACTTCCCCTCGCATCTGCTCGACTGTTTGTTTGTCCCCTGATTCTGTTATGCTTGTTATAGCCAGGAAGCTATGTGACACCCGCGGCCTAGGCCGCGGGCATTTCGGCCGCTGCAGCCGAAAAAGTCGGCCGCGGTCGCGGCCCATGAGGCCCAGTCCGCGGCCTGTTTTTTTAATAATTTTTTTTACCCCTAAAAGTACACAAAAAAAACAAAAACAAATATAGGGGTGTAGGGCTTGGAAAACTCTACAATCCTATTTTTTTTTTTTTTTTGGAATCGAACTTCGTTTAAGATTTTTAAAAAATGAAAAATGAAATTCAATTTAAACAAAATATTTAAACAAAATTAAAAAGAAAATCAGGAATTTTTTTTTGTCATTTTTTATCATGAGGGATATGGTCCATGAGTTGTGCTGTATTTTTTTTAGAAATGAATTTCGTTTTTTTGCAGGTAAATTAGGTGTTTAAAAAAAATGAAGATGCAAAAATTGAAAACGAATAAACACAAAAAGGGTTTGATTGATTGATTGATTGATTGATTTTGTGTGTGTGTGTGTGTGCCCTCGTGTGTGTGTGTGTGATGTGTGATGTGTGTGTGTGTGTGTGTGTGTGTGTGTGCGCGCGCGGGCGCGCGTGTGTGTGTGTGTGTGTG